CAAATAATGTTATCACTGACAGTAATGGAAAATGACCAGGTCATTTTGTTTTTTTTTAAATGACATAGGTCACTACGCATGTAACCTATGGTCATTGATCATTACGGTCATATCAGAAATAACCAAGTGACGTGACCATCATGACCATAAGTCACCTTTGTCATGTCACAATTGACGTGACCCCTTGTTTGATTAACCAATAAAATTCTAATTGATAATCTTTTTTTGTAAATCAACTAACCGAAAAAATTTTTACTCAACGTCAACCCAAATAAATAATGCCTCCTGAACTACATAATTTTCGTCCGTACTTTACACTTGTTAAAAATACAATAAATAAAGGAAATGCGTTTGCAGTATGCAATAGTTGTATTAATAATTGTGATGGGGGTTAGAAGAAGCTAAATTAAGACCAGAATGTTATACATTAAATAAAGCAAGATTATGTCGTGCACACTTGGCTAAATGTGAAAATTTTAAGAAAACCTTTTCTGAAGAAGAAGTAAAGGAAATCCTTAAATTGCCAGTACCTGAAGACAAAGTTAATGATATTATAGAAGTTGATGATGATGATGAATCTATTCAAAATTTAGCAAAACGAAGGAGACTTTCTACATCAACAGTATCAAGTTTTAACTCAATTGGCAGCCAACAAAAATCATTAACATCATATTATCGTCGCCAAATTTCAACAAATGATGTACCTAGATTTGAACAACTATTCATTAGAATGACAGTATCTAATTGTCTTCCTTTCTCTTTTGTAGAGAATGAAGAAACTAAAGCATTATTTGAATTTATTGCTCCTGGACTTGTTCTTCCTAATCGTAAAGCAATTGGTGGCAGAATCTTAAAAGATGCAGCTAAATCTCTTCAACATAATATTGTAAAAATCGCAGCAAATGATAAAGATGGTGTTACGGCAGCCTTTGATGGTTGGACGAATGTAAAAATGGAGCAATTATGGGGTGTAGTATTTATTACATCAAAAGGACAACCTTTGGTTTGGGGAGCACATGAAATAAGTGCTGAGCGATCTCGTACAACTTATGTTATCCAACATATAGAAGAAATGATGGAAGACGCAAAAAACAAAAATGTTTGTATAAAAGCATTTGTCTCAGATTCAGCAGGCTAATATGCAGCAGCAAGGTAAATTTAATAAACCTAATTTTAATTCATTATTATAATACTTATTAATTTATTAATGGAAAAATAATTTAACTTTATTTTTTCTAGACGGCAAATTAGAAGAAAATATCCAAGTAAAATTTTTTTACCATGCATGGCACATCAAATGAATCTTGTTTTTGGCGACATTTTTAAAGAGAAAGAATTATATCAAAGAATATTAAAGGAAGCAGTCCGATTAGTTACTTATTTTAATAAATCAGTGTATTTTACTGGAAATCTTCGTGATGAACAAATGAGAATTTATAATAAACACATATGTTTAGCATCTCCAGGAGATACTCGATGGAACAGTTATTACTTTTGTTTTTATTCTATTTTAAAAACTCAAGCAGCATTAAAGGTAAATATTATTAGTTTAATAAATATTTTATATCAATAAAAATATAATATTTAAATTTTTTTTATTAAAGTTTATTTCAGCAAAATTCAATCCACATCGGGCTAATGTAACACGTCAAAATGGAATACCTTCAGCATCTGCAGATAAATCTTCAAGTCAAAATGGTGACCGAAAACTTCCTGATGACATTGCTGATACTATAAATGATTCAGAATTTTGGTCGACCCTTTTTTTACTACAACATATGCTTTATCCACTATGTGGCTTTTTAAATAAATTGCAGAAGGATACTGCACGATTGTTTGAAGTAACACATTGTTTTGCAAATACTATTAAGATTTTTAAAAATCACCAAGATACTGATTTTGGTTCACGAATGGTTGAAAGAATCAAAAACCGTTGGAAGGAGTGGGAGCAGCCGCTCCTTATTCTTTCTATTGTTCTTCACCCCCAATACAAATTAGAAAATTTTCAAGTTACAAATAATAATTTAACATGGACTCATATTGTAAAATTTTTAAAATACTATTATCAAGCTTTTTTTAATTCCCGTCCTTCATCAATTGTAGCTGAAATTATTTTATATAAACATGGTGAAGATCCTTATGACCTTGAAACATTTTCACAATTTAAAGGTAATTTGGTAAATTATTGGGATTCTACAGCTGGTATTGGACCAGAATTAGCTAAAGTTGCTATACACATACATGGTGTCTGTATTAACTCAGCATCCGTTGAAAGATTGTGGAGTAGTATGGGTTTTCTTCACACGAATAGGCGAAATAAATTAAAGGTATGTTTTATATCAATATTTATTTTATTTATTACACAAAAATTTAATTCATATTATTTAATATTTTAGAGCAAAAAAGTATTAGCTATGAGTCAGATTCGAAGTGATATACTTTATCATCGTCAAAAAAAAAATGCAAAAGAATTAGATACTAAAGTTCAGCGTTTACATATAGCAACACCAATTATTGAAGATGATAATATAAATAATCCTGAATTTAATAACTTAACTGATGATGATTTGTTGGTTAGTGACGATGATAATGGTGAAAATGAAAGTAATAATTTGACTTTAAATGACTCTTTCTAACCTCATACTGAAGAACAAGAACAAGGATGGAATATATTTGTTAAAGATTGGATTGAAGCTATTAAACGTGAAAATACATTTGATCATTCTGAAGATGAAATACTTTTAGATGGTGAAATGGATAATGACTTTAATTTTGGAGGAAGAACAATTCATCCTGCAGACTATCTGACAGCAAAATGGCCGTTATGATCTTTGTTCATTTCTAATTTAGGATTTCCTGCTTATTTACAGGGAAATCAGATTTATTCAGCACTTTAAAAATGAATTCATATGTTTTAATCTTTATAGTATTTGTTGTAAAAATTTATGATATATTAAATAATAAATAAATTTTGAAATTTTATAACGGTAAAAATTAAATCATATTAAATCACGTGATCATATATCGTTATGACCAAGTCACATAAATTCTTCAAAGCTAAAATGACCATATGACTAATGACTTAGTCACTAAGTCATTTAGGTCACATCCGGTCATGTGCCAACACTGATCACTGATGCTGAATTCGAACTAGTAGAGACATTACTTCAAGAAGCTAGCATCGAAGGGTATAGTCTCTCATATCCATCTGAAAATTTTCCTAACAAATTTCCATTATCACGCATCTCTCCATCGCACTGCCCAATATGTAACTGAGAACATAATAGTGATTATGGATATATTATTCGAAATAAAAAATCCTACAGTTTTTTCTGCTACCAGGCAAACAATGATAGGGAACCCAGTTCTAGAAAACCTTTAAAAAAGCTTACTATTAGTGAAACTGTCTTGTATCAAGAACAAAAGCTCTCAAGTCCTACAAAACTAGACTGATCCAGAATTTCTGACCCAAATGACCGTTTCATATGGAGAGATTTAATTGATATGAGCACCTCTGGACAAAAATTTTCTCGTAATAAAGTTTATAAAGCAATACAGGTAAAGCTCCGCACGAGCCAGCTTGAGCCGAGCTGAGCCAAAATTCTAGCCAGCTCAGCTCGATTAGAATTTTCAAGCTTGGCTCGTGTCGAGCCAACCTCGAGCTGAGCCGAGCCAAGTTTTAAAGTGGCTTGGCTCAAGCCAAGCTGAGCTTTTATCAAATACTACATATTTCTCGTGATTTTTTTAATTTTGGCCGGAATTAAGTAATCGACATGGAAATTTCCTTTTTTGAACACATGAGTAACGTTATACAATCCAAAAAAGGCAATTTTATTTCTTATCAAAAATGGGGAAATGCATTGCACAGGATTCCAAAAAAGGAAATTTCCATGTCGATCACTTAATTCTGGCCAAAATTAAAAATCACGTAACGCCGGCAATAATAAAGAAAAAAAGTTCTGGAGCTTGTGAGCCAGCTCATAACTCGCGAGCTAGCTCGAATGAGCTGTATCAAAGCTCGGCTTAAATGAGCCAAGCCAAATTTTTACGAGTCGTGGCTCAGCTCGGCTCGATATACCTGGCTCGAGCTGGACTGGCTCGTGCAGAGCACTAAATACAGGCAACGGTCGCCTGTATTCAAATAACATCAAGATTATAAGTGCTCAAAATAGAGGATACGAATAGTGGACTCTATTATGATATGGCACCAAAGCTAGATCTTGCCAAGTATGAAGTTAGCTTGCTTGAACTAGGTGGGGTGGGAGTGAAATTAATTAACTTAATAGATTAGGCGGTTATCAAAAGTCTAATCTTTTACCACAATATTAATTTTCTACCGTATTCACTGAATAGTCCAGTTTCCAATACAAAGTTCTTTAACCTTTTCATAGGATTTTTGGCTAAGCCAGTGGTGGAAATTAATCCCAAAATCATGGATCCTATTTTCTGGTATACGAAGAATATAATCAGTAATGAAAATGTGGAACTTCACGAATATCTTTGGAATTGGTGAGCATATTTAGTGCAGAAGTCAGAAAAAAGCCTTGGTCAATCTTAGTCTTAAAGTCTACACTACAGCAGTATGGAAAAAATATTATCACTGACTTTATTGGTGATAAAGTCCTAGGAGAATATCTCCATTATGCTACATCAGATTTGGAGAAAATTCTTGGGCAATTTAATAGTGCTATTCAAGCTTAAAAACTTATTGTTATGAACGAGACTGGAATGTCTAGTGGGGAATAGCATAAATTTAACGGACATCTTAAATCCCTTATAATAGAAGAAATGGTGTCTATAGAGCGTAAGGGTATTGAAACAAAGCGAATTAGAGATTTTACCAGATTTATAGTTATAAGCAACCAGGATACTCTGCTCAAAATAGATATAGGGGATTCTCGTGTAGTCTGTTTTGATGTGTCTTCATGATGTAGAGGAAATACAGTATATTTTAAGCGACTAGGAAAGTTCTTGACCATCCCGATGCACCAGGAGTAGTCATGAGATATCTTTTTAATCGCGACCTCTCAGACTTTGAACCACAAGAAATTCCTGTAACTAAAATGAAGATAAAAACAATGCGAGACCAATTACCTAATCCCATCTGATTTATAATTGACTATATTTCTTTATGGTGTGGGGTTAAAATAGCCAGTCCAAGTCGTACATTATTATATTAGAAGTATTTTGAATGGTGTGAAGAGAATGGTGAAAAGCCATTTTCTAATAACATTACTGGAAAAAAATTTTCAGATATTGGTATTGAGAGCAAATAAGCATGAATAGGTGGCGGAAAAAGGGAATGGCAATATATACTTGACCGCTCCAAGATCGTAGTCAAGTTCTGTGAATTTGGCTTAGATGATGTGAAAGAATTTTCTGATATATTTCAAGACGACTTGCCCAAAAATGAGACTACAGACATACCCATATTCAATATGCCAGAAACTATTCCACAGAAAATAATCACGCCTCAGCTAGAGCACCATAACAGAGTAGCCAATAGAAAGAATAAACCTTCACCTAATACTAGTAAAAATAAGAAGGCCAGTAATCAGGACGATTTGATTCAGATCCTCTTCGACTATGTAGCAACTGAAATTCCGGTCGCCTCAACATCTGGAACTTCCGAGGCTTCTAAGATTTCTGAACTATTTAATAAGCCTGAAACTAGCAAACCTTCTAAGCCTATCGAGCCTATTAGTAATGTGATAAAAGCACCAAAACCCAGTAGTAATGAAATATTATCTGCCAGAGCCCAGCGTGAAGAGCATCTCAGAAAATGGGCTATCGATCACAATGAGGATCCAGATATCTTCATGAACATCACAGAAAAAGATGTTAATCAGTCCCAGGAATATCAAGACAGGATGATGGCAGATGCAGAAGTCATCAAATTCGCTAGAGAAAATAAGATGAACTCAAATGATTTATTTTATATGACTAGAAGAGAAAGGTTAATAAGCGAAGAAATATATCTTTGGGAGTTCGAGCATATGGAAAAACCCCAGAAGTATATTTACGATGATAAGGAATAGGAAAAAAATATAAGCATACTCCAGAAGAATGGTATGCTTTGGTAAAGAGTGAATAAAAAGCCAGTTTACAAGAAAGCTATTTGGATAAGAGGAAATCCCAGAGGGATCAGGTCTTTATAGTCTTTACAAATGGGCAATATATAATTCCAAATTATTATTATTTTTTTCATATATCCTATCTACTTGCAATTTTCAAATATATATAAAAGATACCCCAGCCGGTGGCTTCATAGAGACCTAACATAAGCTATATCATTATTTTTTCGCCCTCTAATCCTCCGATAGCTTTCACTGATCATGAGGTAGTAAAATGATGGAATATTTTTTTTGAATTGAACTTTATCCCACATAATATAATCTGAATACCACAGATTATCTAACTACTATATATAATCTATATACCACATAATGTCTGCAATTGCAACCAAGTTCGTTACATCAGGAATTTAAACACGGCATAATGTTTCGTAAGTTTACAGATTTTCGTAAAATTACGTACATTTACGGTATAATGTTCCGTAGATTTACGGATTTCCGTAAATCTACGTAATTTTACGATCGAAATATTCTGAAATAATACGGGATCGTAAATGTTCCGAAGCATTACTAAGGTTGCTTGTCTAAACCTCTTCAAAATCCTACGATTAGTTTCATCAAAATTTTACTATAGATTTATTATAGTTTCGGCAGAGTTTCGGCAGTTTCGGCATTTATAATAAGTTTCAGCAGTTTNTTTATAATAAGTTTCAGCAGTTTCGCCTTTCTCCAAAGTTTCGCCAGTTTTTTAATATAACTTTAATATAGTTTCGGCAGAATTTCGCTTTTCGGCGAAACGCCATCTTGCCTAAACCCCTAGGTTTCAGCAAGCAACCTTAAGCATTACAATCGAAATATTCTGAAATAATACGTGATCGTAAATGTTCTGAAGCATTATGGTCAAAATATTCTGTAATAATACGTGATCGCAAATGTTTCGAAACATTACGATTGAAATATTCTGTAATAATACGTGATCGTAAATATTCTGAAGCATTACGATCGAAATATTCTGTAATAATACGTGATCGTAAATGTTTCGAAACATTACGATCGAAAATGTTCCGAAGCATTACAATCGAAATATTCCGTAATAATATGATATCGCAATTGTTCCGAAGCATTACGATTGAAATATTCTGTAGAATTATGATATCGTAAATGTTCCGAAGCATTACGATTGAAATATTCCGTAATAATACGTGATCGCAATTGTTCCGAAGCATTACGGTCGAAATATTCCGTAATAATACGTGATCGAAAATGTTCTGAATCATTACGATCGAAATATTTTGTAATAATATGATATCGCAATTGTTCCGAAGCATTACGATCAAAATATTCTGTAGAATTACGATATTGTAAATGTTCTGAAGCATTACGATCGAAATATTCCATAGAATTACGATATCGTAAATGTTCCGAAGCATTATGATCGAAATATTCCATAATAATACGTGATCGTAAATGTTTTGAAACATTACGATCGAAATATTCCGTAATAATACGTGATCGTAAATGTTCCGAAGCATTATGATCGAAATATTCTGTAGAATTACAATATCGTAAATGTTCCAAAGCATTACGATCGAAATGTTCCATAATAATATGTGATCGAAAATGTTCCGAAGCATTACGATCGAAATATTCTGTAATAATACGTGATCGTAAATATTCTGAAGCATTACAATCGAAATATTCTGTAGAATTATGATATCGCAATTGTTCCGAAGCATTATGATCGAAATATTCCGTAATAATACATGATCGAAAATGTTCCGAAGCATTACGATCGAAATATTCTGTAATAATACGTGATCGTAAATGTTTCGAAACATTACGATCGAAAATATTCCGAAGCATTACAATCGAAATATTCCATAATAATACGTGATCGTAAATATTAGCCCTGTTCATTTCCGGTCGGGTACATTTTTCGGTCGGATTTTGTTGTACAAAAATTATCCAATAAAATTTTTTTATTTTCGATCGCAAATTGAACTGCTTTAGATTGAAATTTAGTTCAAACTCCTTGTATTTCCTGTAACTGATTTTGTTAGGATTAAAAAGGAAATTATAACTTATGTCTTTTTCTTAAATATCACGTAAACAGAAATTATCTAATTTTGGTTGGTTGTTTTTGGTATTCAAAACTGGCTAAAAGTTCAGAAAATGGTTGCGTTATACACCGAAAAATGCGATCGATCAGAAATGAACAGGGCTATTTTGAAGCNTTAAATTATAGAACGATCAAAATAATACAATAGATGAATGTTTTATTGTACGACCTAATAATGCACAATCTGATGAATGTCATAAGTAATTTCAATTTATAATACTTTAGTAATAATTTAAGTATTAATCAATAAATTATTATTATTATATTTAAAGCATTTTTGCATAAATGTGGAAATACTGTTGTTAAAGGAGTTATAAGTAAAAAATCAACCCATACCCAGTCAAATTTTATCATATTATTCCCGTTAATTTAAAGGAATGTCCATTTATCGCAATTGTTTCAGTAGATCAACATAATCACCCATCTCCACTACCACGTAAAACGCCATATAATATTAAAGCACAACTTCAAAGAATAATTGATAATGAGTATATTCTTGATTTAACTACAAGAAAGTTTTTAACAGGTATATATTCTATAATTTAATTATTGTATAATTTAAACAATATTGAAGACTAATAAATTTATATTCATATTTTTTAATGATTGTGAATATTAATAGGATCTATGATTCAAAGTTATTTAAATGGAAAAGCATTAAGTAACTTACATCTATCGTTAAATAATCAATCTAAGATAAATTATTACATTGAAAAAACCTGACATTCTCAATATCCATTTGAGCAAAATATATTGGGATTATACACGAATTTATGAGACATGAGAAAAGTACAGATCCATATATTTGATCAATTCATAAGTATTATTAATTATTATTGATTATTTTTTACTATAAAAAATATTAAAAATTGTTTATTGCTCACATTTAGGTTTTCTTGATGATGGGCAATATATTATTTTATGTGTTACTAAGCAATAACTTAAGGCTATTTCAGAACTAACACATATGGAAATTGACATGGCATTTAAAAGGATAAATGGTAATACAAATGAATGGAAAATTTCAGCATATTTACCTCGTATACAAAAAAGTAGGTTGAAATTTTTAAATTATATTTTTTTTTTCTTTTTAAAAAAAAATTACTTATTTATTATTAAATATATATAGTTTTAACATTTGTGCGAATATTTACAAATGTTGAAACCGCTCAAGCTTATCAAAATCTATTTGATGATTTATTTAGATGCGTAGAAAAAGATATTGGCGAAACATTTAATTTTCACCATATTCATGGAAAAGGATTAGGATGTGTTCTTACTGACTAACATAAAGGACAAGCTCTTGGTAAGATTAAATATTATGTAATTTTAATTATTATAATTTCGTCTAAATTATATATTTATAACTAGGATTAGGCAATTTTTAAATTCAAGGTATTCGCACTTAACTCCTATTGAACATTTACAACACATTTACAAACCTGTCTCTTATACACATCTAGATGTGTATAAGAGACAGACATAACAATCACCAGACAAATCCAGTTACACCAATTTACTAATTGTTAAAATTCTGTGTAACATTAATCGTTAAACTTCATTCAATATTAACTTATTCAAACATAATGTTACGTCATGATTTTATCACAGAAAATCAACTTCTGACTTCCATTTTAGGTATTAAATTCATTTTTTTGAACATTAACTAATTAAAATAGAAATTCAAAATATTCGAGACTTTTTTCATTATTTTGGTCTTTTTTCTCAAGATCCTTTTTAATTTCAAGCTGTTAAATATCAACAATAGCCAAAATATATGTAAAAAGATGTGCCAGTTACGTCTACTTTATCTTATAAAATTAGTTTACACACTACAGTCCCCTCTCGATATAACGAACCCTAGGTTCCAGCTGATCAGGGCTTCGTTATAAGCAACTTCGTTAATACTATAACGAATTCTTCGGTATAGGAATATTGGTTATACAGATCATGTGACTTGTTGATCTGATTACCGATAAGTTAACATTTTTTTTAATCTTTTTTTTTATAGGGGTGCTTTCTAAACTTCAAAATAGATGCCTAGAATGAGAAGTAAGTGAGAACTGGAGGTTTTTTATATTAATTTCGTTTAAGAACATTTACTAATGTTCTTTTTTATTTTTTTTATTGTAGGGACTTCGAAATGGACGCTTGAGACAAGAAGTAAATGGGACAACTCAATTTTTTCTTTTAATTTCATTTAAGAACATTTACTAATGTTCTTTTTTTATTTTTTTATTATAGGGAATGCTTCCTGAAGTGTTCTATATAAAAATGTTTATTATAATTCCTTTTTTTTGTAGGAATGCTGTTTAACAATAACTGACTATATAATAAATAAATTATTAATGATATATTAATTTAACTAGGAGTGTCCTTACCCCTGTGATAAATATAAATTAATAACAATTCACATCGAATCCTATTACAACCGAATTAATGTAAATTAATGTAATTCTGTCTAAATATTAAATAAAATAGCCAGAATTATTAATCCTGATACGATCCTAATACAATCCTGATCCATAATTTAAATATAAAACACAGGGTGATATTTAATGTCATAATGCATCAATATTTATTAATAATTACATTTAATTATAAACTATAGAAATTCTTCGTTATAACTGAAAAAAAATTCGTTATAAAAAAAATCCGTTATATTGAGAGGCATTTTTATATAAGAAATTCACACACTTTACTTCGTACTACGTTATACAGTAAATAAATAGTAAACTTCATTATATCAAGGTTTTTTTCATATTTAAAATCGGTACCACACTGTATGATCTGTTATATCGTGTTATTCGCTATATCGAGGTTCGCTGTAGAGAGGGGTGACTGT